ATAATTAGGAAGTGCCACTCCCATAAGTTCAAATTATTTCTTAGTGAAAGCAATTTAAAAAAAAAATTAATCATGGAAACCACCAGAACTGAAAGTCAAAAACTGCTCAGGATCAAACTGGTGACTCAGCATACTGAATGGCTTATAAAACTTCATTAGGAATGTGGGCTGGTACTTCCTTCAAAAGAGTCTCTTTTAATAATTGATTTTTGGCTGCTCTTTCTCTTTTCTTACCATCCACAGCTATGAACTGGCCTTCAACACACAGAGGCAATACAGTAGCTGCCAACATTTGTAAGTAATTATAGGGAGGTTTTACAAGGGGAAGATGGACAGTCCTTAACTTACACCAAAGTGCCACAGTCTCAGTGAACCAATAGAAAAAAACAACCAAACTCTCCAGAGAGTTTTGGAAGCAAAGCCATTACATTTTTGCCTGGAAGCATAGTTTAACATCAAAGTCACAGTACACACGTGATAGAGAGCAACATAAGACACGTTACTGAGGCCAGGCAAGCTGAAAAATCAAAACATGCTGGTTGGTTCCTCAAACAGAAAAAGGATCAGGGACAGAGAAGACAGCAGTGACAATGCAGCTGCAGTGCTGTGCAGAGGGTGCTCAGACAGCAAGTAGGGATTTGGCAGCACAGTTCCTCTTCAGATCAATTCCAAAGCAGCAGCCTCACAGGAGCAGTACCAGCAAAAGTACTCAGTCCCCATTTCTTTAATTGCATATAAACACATGTACTGAACCATATGCTCTTTTTACTACAAGACATAATACAAATAATCAAACTCTATCACCTTTGTTAATCCTATAAAGTGCTTTGGATTAAAAAATTGCTCCCTCATAACAAGATGAAGTGCTACTCAGGACAACAGAAGTATAAACCCCATTAGGTAGCCACCCTAAGCACCTTTCACACCCAGCAGAGGAGATAGGCTTATAGCCAATGCAATTCACAGCACTAGGCTTCCTAAGGTAGGCACTTGCATTTGCTCAAATATGCCTGGCCTCTCAATCAGCTAGAGGGTTCTCACTCACTGAAACAGATGCCTAGACTGCTTTCTCAGGTATTGAAACAGCTAAGCAATAAGGTTCCTACCCAAGATGACAGAATCCATCACCAGTAGCACCTGCTTGTACAAAGGAAATGAAATGGATCCAACTAATTCATGAAAGCTCACTATCATATTTTGAAGTCACACCAAGTAATTCTGAGAAACTCAACCTACTTAACCAATGTCAAGAGCAAGTTGTATGTCAACCACTGCAAATACTAGTTATGCAGCTTCTCCACCAGTTAACGTATTTTAAACATGTGCACACTCATTTCCTGCTTTACACATCTTCATGTTCACTAAAAATAACCATCATTTTACAGTTCTCTCAATTTATCAAAATCAAAACCACAGCATCACTGCTTAGGAAATTTTAGTAGTCTTAAGTTTGTTTTCAGTTTGCCAAGTCTGTGTTACACTTCCCTTTAACTGATCAAGGCGACAGATGTGAGATCCTGAGGTATGACTAAAACTGACAGAGTTTGCATGTGACAGAGCTGAATTGCACTCTATAAAGAATTTCCCCATTTGAGTTACTCTCCAATTTTAAGAAAAAGTCTGATCGCTCACCATGTTTAAACAAGCAAAGCAACAGACAATATAAATATTTGTTCTACCCAGACTTCACAAATCAAAAACACCAGCATAATAATGCATTTTCACAAAGATGGTTTTTACAACATGACTAAATATTGAGCCAGCATAAAGAGAAGAGTGCGAAAACACAAGGATAATACCAATGAAAATACAGCAAGTGTCATTTTGGAGATCCAGTCAGTCTTATGATCTTATTTTATTCTTAAATAACAGAAAATTCTCAAATTAGAAAAAAAATCCTCTTCTCACTTTAAAGCGCAGAAAAATGACTGAAACAGTTGCACTATTTATTCAATTATAAAGTGCTGCAATAAGAACATAGAAATATTTAATGTATATCGGGTGACCTTAACATCAAATACATGAAGCAAAACCCCACAGTTGTAAGTTTTCAGTCTCTGATCAGCTGCAAACATAACTGTTCTCCCAAAATGGATTAGCAAGGGCATAAAGCAAAATTTAACTCTTACTCTTCATAACTTCCTCGCCCTCACATGTCAAGAACAATTCTCCAACTTTATTTTGCCTGCAGATCTACAACCACAGAGTACCACTGCTCTTCAAAGGCCAGCCAGATTCTGGAACAGCTTCCGGTATCATTGAGAACACTGAGGGGAAAAAAATTACTCATTAGCAAAGAATCTGTAAAGGTCTGCTGATAACAGACCAGGTCTGGGTTTCAGCATATCAATGCTTGACCAGTAACAGCCAAATGAGCACCAGCAAAAAGCCTCTCAGCAGTACCTTCTTAAGCATTCCCATGCAACAGTCACCTCAAAAACACACATAAAAGGTGGAAGAATATAATATTTTGCATGCAGGCCTGAAGAGTTCTGTGTCCCTTTTATACTGTTTATTTTGTAGTATTTTAATAGTATTTAATTTCAGAGGCAAACAGCATGCTCAATTTTGGCAGGAATACATTGACAGACTATTACTGTGTAATCATGGAAAGAATTACACTGACATCAAAACCACAATTATTTAGTTGTATGAAATCCAGAAAGTGTAGCCAGAAATTTCAGTTTTCAAAACCAAATCTGCTCCACAGTAATGTTTATGCTCTTAGAGAGTGGTATCAGTGCTAAAAAAAGGCAAGGACACTGATCCACAGCCAAAGATAGTGTCTGTTCCTTATCTTTCCAAAAGAGAAATCTCAATTAAAGGGAAGCTATGGGTCATCACCAGTATCACTGATTAAGCCTAGCCATTGCTAATGCACCTAAACAGTCTGCATGCACCAAACATTAGGAAAAAAATAGACCAAATAATCACACCCCACTACAGTGTGTCTGCAATTTGATAAGTAGCAACTTAAATGGTCAGATATTGCTACCCAGTTCCAGAATAGCACCAGCAGAAGTTTACAGGTAAGATCTAGAGTAGCAGTCAGGAAGGACTGCAGCATATCAAACTAGAAGCATAAAAACAGGAACAGTCAGGAGTATTTCCTGCTTGACATACGGTTTTATGTTCTGCAAGACATATATACCAATCTATATGCCTTGGGAAGGGCTTATTTCCATTCATAAAGTGGTAAATATCCTCAAGCTACTTCTGGCATGGGTTCAGACATCATAGGATACAAACAAAAGAACTGTTTACTGTTTTCTAAATTGGGAGTTGGGTGGGTTAAGGCTTCCATTGCAGTACGGAGACATGTTACCTCAAGCTGCCTATGAATACACAAGAATAGTTACAGGATACCTGACAGCATAACCAAGAGCCAAGAGGCACATATGTAATGGCTATGCAGGTATCAGATGTGCAGCAGAAACAAGGCATCTTCTCATTATAGCAAAAGCACTCAGACATTTAACGTGGCAAATTTTTTCCTTCTGCATTAGAATTCACCACACAGGCTGTAGGAATTCTCCTTTAAGAAGAACTTCCAAGCAGCAGTAAATCAGTCAAATGACAGCTAAAGGAAAGCCCTACAGAAACATTTCATAAAATTTGACTATATCTTACTAAATTTTATAGTTAGCCAGATTTTTCTAGCATGAGTATATTTTCTTTCTGTTATTTCAAAGGTGTTCAAGCATGGCAAATGCAGCATTAGCTGGTTTATCTACTTGGAAACTCTTTGCAAAACACCAAGATCTATGGCATTCCACAGCCAAGGCAAGTACAACTTTGCAGCTGACATACCTGTTGGATCACTGTGCTTCTGAGCATCACAACAGAGTAGCTGACAATATCACAACACCTAACTGACCAATTTGACTGTACAAGGCAAGCTGTACCATTATTCAACAAAATGGTGTTGTTTCAGGGTACAGTATCAAATGCTCCTCCATGGTAGTTATCACAGAACTAACTGCAACCAGATCAACGTCATGTTAGACTTAATTTGATTCCTGCCAGATGACACTGTTCAGTTACAAATCAAACTTCAGGTTTCCCATTAAAAAATAATAAAAAAGAAGAGGAAAGGAGACTTTAACAGGAAATACTCCTGAAGAAGGAAGCTCGCCTTAGGTACACTGCTTTGTGCATATTTGTGACTAAAGAAAAATTGTTACAACATTTACACTGAGGAAGTTCAGTTGCTTAACACCACATGTAAAAAGCATGGGTGATACAAGATAAGCTAGTTTACATCAACTTGTTTGGCAGGCTTTACAAAAGGTTCATTGTGGATTTAGATTGCAAAGCCTGTGCACACCCAGAAAGGAACAAGCTATAAGGACTTTCCAGTAATAATAACAGGCAACAGGAGAGAATTCCACTCTTTCACCTCACCTTCTACAGTTTTGCTTAACTGAAAGTTTCGGACTTAACTGCATCCCCCAATTCATATACATATGATCCAAAGGAATTCCTCAGCTGAGGTTCTGGGGGGAAAATAAAAAAAATCAGTGGACTCATATGAAAGAGGCAGGAGGTAGCAAAAATAATAAAGAAAAAAAACTTTTATTTTGCTCACTTGACCAAAAAGCAACCAAAGTAGCAAGAGATTTAGAGCAAGAGAGAGCATATACCCGTCAAAGAGAAAATTGGACATCTACCACGCTGACGACCTGCTCTTGTGCCATTATTCACTCAGTGCTTCAAGGAAACCATGCTTTCCAAAATAAACCTGAGTTGTGCTGCAACAGTGTAGGAGAAACTGAGCTGACAAGTTTGTAAGAACAGTTACTTAATCAGGATGCTACTCCAGACCCAGAACTCTCAAGAACTTGGGATAAAGTTGCTAGAAATTGCCAAGAGAGAGAAAGTACCCCCTGCCCCCCAAACTAAATTAAAGTATAGGTAAGTGCAAAGAAACTCAGCCTTGGCACTCCTCAAAGACATGAGGTGACGGCAACAGGAAGCACCACTAGGATGATCACAAATGCACTGAAAAGCCTTTTATTCAACATTTTATTTATTATTTATAGGGATCAGAGTAGAACCTTCACAGTATCTCTCACATAGGCCATCAGCAGGATCAAGCACTCCATTTTCCTTGCCCTTCTGCATAGCTATCTATTTTCTAAGAAACTGGCTCCCTTGTGCAGAAAGCTCAACAGTCAAAATGATCTGAAAGAGACAATCAGAGGGGGAAAAAAGACAAAAAGTTAGTGGGAGAAGATGAAGTCATAGGGAAGAGATTTTTACAGGAGTTCTCTATTCAGATTGGGTTGGCTGTACATACACAGAGAAGACAATGCTTCAGCTCTTTAAAACTTTAGGAAAAAAAGAAATACAGGTTCTGCCTATGCCAACAGTCACCAATCTTCATTAAATTAAAAAAAAACACAAAAACAATAGATAAAGACTAAGCAAGAAGCATGCTGCTAGCAATAGGATATTCTGTTCTTCTTGTCAGCCTGGGCAGCAGCAGCAATAGCGCCCCTATCCACAGCATTAGAAACTTTCATAAGAAATGTTGCTTGAAGGAAGTCATCTTCCCAAAACCAGTTTGGTTACCATGTGTCTATCTCTTTCGTATCTTAACACCATTAACGTGAACTTTAATATTTTATTTTTCCTGAAATATTTTCACTATTTTATCTACTTTCACAGCAGGTACACATCATAGTATACAGTACCTTATAATTCCCTTGCTGTTCACAATGTTTTTTGATCCATATCCTGTATATATTGTGTTCAAACACAAAGGAATCAGATTGACTGCACTGGTCTTTGAGTTAAAAGCCTGCTAGCTGAGCCAGGCTACCAGAACGTCCCTCTCTAGTATACAGCTAAAGAATAGACTTAATTGGCAGTCACAAACACTGAGCAAAGCTGTACAAAGACGGAAGTTAATACATCAAGACACACATGAACTAATCCTGTATCAGTGATACTTTTTATCATTAATATCTTCTAGCTTACTTACGTTCAAACGCCAACAATAACTGCACAGTTCTGAAAGGCAACGGAATACAGCTGGGCTCACCTGGGCAGGCACAGACCAGCCAAAGTCCCAGACTCCCAGTTCTCAGAGAAGACAAAAGTCCCATCAGTCTGCAAATGTTGTAGAGTATAAAACATATATGAAAGAGTAAGGCATTGAACCATGTATTTATAGATTGCTATTAATGCACTAGTTGAATTAGACTATCTGGTAGCCCTCCTCTCTTCAAAAGGGAGCCAAGGCAACCAAAACTCAGGCATCTTTCTGCAAATAGGACCTCTGTTTTCAGGTAATATTCTAGTCTCCCATTTCAGTATTTGTTATATCACTTTTCAACGAAATACCTTTTCCTCAAGAGTTTTGGATAAAAGTCAACAGCAACACTTCTTATTTCTATCCTGTAAAAGGAAAAGACCTGGAATTATGTTTTAGGCAAGCTTAGGTTTCAGAGCCACTATTCATTTGTTGCAAAGTTTTCAAAAAGCCACTTATGCCATCTTGTCACAAACTGCAGGTGTTCAACTTCCAATACTGTGGAAGAAATGCAGAATCATACAAGTTTACGTTGAAAGGGACCTCTGTGGATCACCCAGCTCAAGACAGGGTCAACTAGTGCAGATTGCTTAGGGCCATGTCCAGTTTAGTTTTGGATACCTCCAGGGACAGATACTCAACTTCTCCAGGCAGTTTCTTCCAGTGCTTGGTCTCCCCCGTCATTTACAACAACACAATCAAAAAAACCCAACCCCAAACAATACATACCCTCTCAAGTTTAAATGAAGTTTTTTGTAGTTCAGTTTGTGACCAAGTTAAGTGTTCATAAATCTCTGTATCCTCAAACTATGATAAGGATGTTCAACACACCTGAAATTCTCACTCAAGACAACTCCTGGCTACTCAGAGACAAACTGAGATACAGTACCTGGTTTCAATTAAGACAATATTTGTTTAAATGGAAAGGCAACAATACTAATATTTAGCCTTAGCCAGAAGGCTATTTGTTTTAATAAAAGGCAGCAATGCTAATATTTAGGTTTAGTCAGTGTCAGCAAAAATTGTCCTCCTATTTCTATGCAGAAAAGCAATCCTTTCAATTTTATCCTTCACCGGGCAAACCAATGTCCTGTCTCTGGCACAAAAGGCTATAATGTTTCTCTGCATCTGTTTTTCAGGTATACACACATTCCCCAGTGACACAGATTCCCACCTTACCACTTGATCACAATACTGAAAGAAGCTTTCAAAAAAGTTTAAACTGTTTCCTTTACAACTCTTCTCCAAGAAACAAATTTATTTTAGCCACAATGTATTAAAGAGTTTTACAGCCACACTCCATATCACCTATTTGTTTCTTTTTTTTTTAATACTAAGAAATAAGTAATGTTCTCTTATTATCAGTACTTAGCCCCATGGAGTCTGGTTTCATCTCAACAGCCAAATTTAAAAAAAAACAAAACAAAACAATTTAACCTTAATTCACAACCGCAAATCTTGCTTCCTCAGTATCTTTCCCCTCTCTTTTGATACAGTTAACCTTTTTCAAACTGTGAACTGTAACACCTGCCTCAAACTCGCAGTGCACATATATAGGGGTTTGGTGTGTTACAGGAATAGCAAAGGCTGTAAGCAACCGAACTTCTGATACCAGAAAGACAGAGGCAGACCCCAAGCTTTACCTACATCACCCAATTGAAAAGAATGTTCTTATATTTCTTCATGTACACTCTTCTATCAGTTGTATTTTACACTATCTTAGGGTTTGGTTGAACGTTCTGAGGTTGCTACCTTAAGTTTTGCCAAAATGAAGTTTTATTTGACAGAACTGCAGGCAAGGGAGCAGAAGCTGGTTCTAATGCAGCTACAGTAAGAACTCTCACAAGGCAGAAATGCAACTGCTTTCTTTATCTACAATTTGCAATAGCCTCTGGGCATATACTGGCACTGAGCTCTAATGCATTTCTTCATTCAGAACTGAGCTTTGCAAGTGCCTGTTGCATTATCTCAGTCTACAAACTCTTACCTTCCTGTCTCTCCAAGTAAATCAGGACAGAATCAGAGACGACATAGACATTTACTGCTCATAATCCAGGAACTGAGTGGGGAAAATAAAAACATCAACATATAACCTCATCATTAGGCTCAGACAGATTATTTCTTGGTGTTTCTCCAAGAAGTCAAATATCTAAATGCTTCTACAACCATCAGTTTTTAGAAAGTCAATCAGACTGATTGCAGTGCAATCAGACATTCTAAAGAGATATTTAAATGCAACTTTAACAGACATTTAGTCACAATGTCTAGAAAACAATGCTGTCAAAAAGTACTGCTTTAGTGGCTTCCAGAAATAAGAGACAAGCCATATTTGCATATCTAGAATTACATTGTTAGTAATACTGGTATTCCAAAATGCCCATTTTTACAGAATAATTCTTCAAGGTACCAAGGTTTGAAAAGTCCAGCACATCTATATTGCATTGTGAAAGCACTCTTTCGGTAAGAGTCACATTTGAGGTTTGTTTTGTTTTGCTTTAATACACACAACAGGCCTGTTTTATTTGAAATACTTTTCTTTAAATGAAGAAAAAGGTACTACGCATTATTCACAAGTAGTCTGCCAGCAGACCAATACCTACATGACACTTCAGAAATGTTTCATCCATCTAACCACAGCAACTGGCTCACTCTGGAAGTTATTTAAAAAGAAAAAAAAAAAAGTGTGGTTCATCCCACTGCTGTGGTGTGAGAAAGAAGATAAGGGAAATCTCAATACTGCAAAAGGAGTATATAACACCACTGCCTATGTGCTTAGAGTCTCTTATCAGTAATGCAAGTGGTAGAATGATACCGATTTCCCTGTAACTCCACAGGCGAATGCAGGATTTGTTGAGGTTCATACATCTGCTTTGATTTCACAGAAACCAAGGTTCAGCCCTTGTAGCCAGAATGGTGTTTGAGTCCTGACCATACAATTAAGAAATTTGCTTTCCTTTGTGGCTTCACCATGCATACTGCAAACTCTTCCTTTTATGTGGCCAAAGGTCACAAACTCACTTTCCTATCAGTAACACATTTGCCCTTGCAGATACCTGTCCTTTTAACATATTGTATCTAGAAGAAAAGCAAGTCACCAGAACTGGTTTTGTTAACTGGTGCAGTAAGCAGGCAAACAGCACATATCTCCAGTCACTCACTATACAGGGGAACTGTGCAGACAGCCCATCCTCTTCTGGCACGCTGTAAGATCTTATGAATCCCATTAAAAGTCCATTAATCAGAAGTCACAGTTGTACCACATCTCCCTGTTATGTTTCAGTTAAAAGCTGCATCGTCAGTCAATTTCCCCATTATCAAAACATAACCCTACCTGAGCTCAACTCTTTCTCCATCATAGAAAGAAAATTCCATCTTTTGTCAGTAGAAAAGATGGACAGTCCACATGGTCATGGCTATACAGATGTTCTGAAAAATAATGAGTTGTCTGATTTCAACACTACGATAAAGCTTCCTGTGGCATCATCTTAACCCAGGAAGGGCTGCTACAGTTCCTGCCAAGCAGCACCTTCCTTGGCCCAAGAGTGCTCTAAGAACAAAAGCACTACTGCACATTTGCCTAAAATTGTCATGGTGCTGTTAGCTCAGTACTTACCTCCCACCTATCCTTGGTACCAGGCCACCACAGGGCCTTAGTTCAGCAAATATTCTCAGAGTACACTAGCCACACATAAACAAAAGCAGGTTCCTTATACAACACAACTGTGCCAGCTCACCTTTTGCAGTAGCAGAAAGGGTTCAGTTTAAGTAAGGGGAGTTCACCACCTGATTCTGTTCTATATCATCTTCAGTCTGAAGAGATCTAAACCTTTTATCTCCCACCTTGAAAGAGCACCGCTTTCAAGGAAGAATGTAAAACAAACCAAGTCTCTTTAGCCCCATAGTTGAAGTAACTGCCTGGGAAAGACAAAGCCTGAGCTCTAGCTTCCACTTCAGCATATTTTTACATTTTACACATGGTAATTAACTTTGAAAACATATGGCACTAGGATTTTCTCCAGGGAGGGGGACATGCAAGTCTGCCTGTTCTCAGATAAACAAAATCCAAGTGTCCCATTTCTGGGTGAGGCCTCTCCAAATAAAACAAAAGCTATTGCGTAAAAATAAAGAAAGGGAGTGAAAGATGGTAAGGAACAAGTACTATGGTTACTTTCTTTAAAGTTCATCTAAGAAAAGAGGGACTAGAATTCCTGGCAGCAGATCTCAAAATTATGGAGAACTACAGAACCCCAGAAGAGGCCACACTCTACATAAAACTTTCATCTTAAGCCAAGAGTTGGCACAGTCCTCACTAAGGAAGCCCACCTCTCTCACTAACTTTCACGTATCCCAGGCCTTTATTAGCTCTGGGTCTCCACACATTCCAATTCTAAATAATATGCCTTGCAAAGGTTAAGCTGAGAAGGAAGAGCTGCTTTGAAAATAGAGAAAGTAACATAGAGAACACAGTAGTGAAAGAATCACGGCATTGTAGCTACAGGCCTCTAACTTACTACCTTTGATGAAGAGAAATGTACTTCTGTCAACAACCTGGAAGACTTTTCACACAGCACCAAAGTAGTCCTTGGGAAAGCTCTGACTGTGCTCTTGCTAAAAATAAACATCAAGCAAAAGAGTTAGTATACAGAGATCATTAGTTTTTCCTCTTCTCAGTTACAATCTTGTCAGAGAGGTGCTTGGAGGGCTTTCCTCAGCACCGCTATTGGCACACAGCTGCTAACCCATGGGAAAAGTGCACCAAAAAGTGTGGCAAGAACACCTGAGAACAGGTATAATGAGGTGAAACACAAACAGTGGGTGAATGTTCAAAGCATAGTGCAGGTTCTCTTAGATAACAGATGAAAACTGCTATGACACTGTATTGCCTCTGGATTTACTCCCTCATAAGAGTCCCAATGACTCTTCTACTACCAAAAAGAGAGAAAAAAAAAGCAGTGAGAGAGAGTAAGCACTGACTAACATCGTCTCAGAGTGAAAGAGCAACATCTTCATTTTGACACGTATTTTTTTCACAATGCTCATGGACTTCTAAACAGCCCACACGAGCACCTCACAGTGGATCTGCAAGCATACCAGGACAAGTCACAGGTGAAGGGGAAGAAGTTCTTCCATGTATGAAGCTGTCACTGATTAAATGCAAGCCATAAAGGAAAAATCCTGTTCCACTGGGATTCCAAAATAAGCAGTAATGGTAACTATACATTACTTACTTAACAGGTTATACCAATCACAGGACATGCACCCTTCAAGCAGAAGTCATTCAGTACCAGCACATTCCAAGAGATAAGCAAAGTGAAGGAGAGCAAACTTTTCCAGGTAGTGTGCAGTATCTACATTGCAAATAGGGTGTTCCTCAAATATGACTAAGTGTGTCCAGGACAACTTTCATTTAGCACCCACTTGCCAGCAAACATAGGGCAATGTGTGCACAAACAATCCAACCATCTAAGCTACCTGTTGGAAAAGTAGCAGCACAAGCCACAGACTGCATCTATCAACCCTCCTGCATGTCTCACCAGGTTGAAACTCACCATCAGCACATCTTTTTTCACCAAGCAGAAGGTGCTCCAAGGGAAACTGATTTCTTTTTCTTTCCATGTCACCTTTCTCCTGCACCTTCTGCTCAAAGCACCAGGACTCTGAAAGCATCATTATCCCTATAAGTAATATAGCCAAAAAAACTAGAAACTGCAATGAACATACATGAATAAAAAACAAGTAGCCTGGGGAGATGCTTTTGTCATCCATTCAGATTTGGGTATAAAGGAGGTACTGACTGTAAATGCACGGCTGTCCAGTGTGTCAAAGCGAGAGGTGACCAAACAAGCCTGCTGGGAACAAATCCGATGACAGGATGCCTCACATTTGCACTGCTACCTTCCCCACTGCAGACCATCAGGAGTAAGAGTCCCAACACTGGCTCCTTATACTGCCTTTTCTAGGTGCGGCTGCCTTCTCAGTGATGCTCCCTTCACACTTCATCTCAGTACAGGTTTAGCTGATTTCTCAGGAAATCCTGGTACAGGTTACTATACAACAGTCCAAATCCGAGACATAAAAGCACTGCACCTCCCCGCCTCGCACACACCGGCTGAAGAACACCCCACACTCCGGGGGCAAACAAGCCCTACCCACGGGGCGGTGTGTCCGCCCCTGACCCTGCTGAGGGCTGTCAGGGGGAGCTCCAGACCGGCGCGGACTGTGCGGGGAAGCGGGCACCGGGCACTGTGCTGGAAACGCACCCGCGGGGATGCGCCCCAGGCGGCCGGGAGGGAAGGAGGGAGCGAGGGAGAAGGGAAGGAGCGAGGGTCGCCGCAGCCAGCGAAGGCGCTGGGCAGACCCACGCTGAACCCTCGGCCTCAGTCACGGCGGGTCTTCCCCATCCCCTGTCCCTGCGCCGCCGGGAGGGCACTCGAACGAGAGGAGCCCCCGCCGTTACCTGCCCGGTGATGCCGGTGATCAGAGCCACCTTCCTGCCGTTCATCTCCTCGCCGTCGTCTCCCGGTGCCGCGGCGGCGCCGGCACACGCCCCCTCCTCCTCCGCCGGCTGTGCCATCCTCCCGGCGGCGGCGGCGGGCACGCCCCAGGTGCAGAGGTATCCCGGGGCGGAGGCGCGGCCGCCGGGGTCAGGCTCGCGGTGCTGGGGGCGGGCACGGAGGGGAGGAAGGATGCCTGTGGCCACACAGGCGCTACCTGCGCTGCCCCGGCCGCCGCAGCCGCAGCATTTCCGCGCTCGCCTCCCGCCGGCGCACCCGCCCCGCCCCGCCCCGCCCCGCCCGCAGGTGCGGCCCCCCGGCAGGCGCGCTCTCGAGGGGCGGCCCGGGAGCGCGCCCCGCGCTAAGAACCGCTCCCGCGGCGCGGCTCAGCCCCACAGCCAATCAGCAGCCGCGGCACTTCCTTAAAGGGACGGGAGACGCGCCGGGGCCGAAAGCGGGCGCGGTGATTGGTTGAGAGCGCGCGGCGGTGGGCGTGGCCTGGGGTCTTGCAGGAGGCGCTGGGCAGACACTTCCTGAGCGCGTGTCGGGGAGGGCGGAGCGGTCCCGCGTGAAGCGGGCGGGTCTGCGGCACAGCGCCCCCAGCGGCGCGGAGGGCACCGGGGGGAGGGTACACATGTGGTGCTCCTCGGGTTCCCGCCGGTTACAAGTGGCCCAAAGGCTTCCGGAAAAACGGGATTTGTAACAAATATGCCTTCTTCTCCTGAGATACTGGATCAGCATCCCGTTTCCCGAGGCAGCGGGTTGCTGTGTGTACAAGGAAGAAGGTGCCTGCCCGCTTGCTGTTAATCCATGCAGGCTGTCGCACCAGTTTTCTCAATGTATGCTTGGATGATGGAGCCTCTGCATACGCAGACGATTGTCTTACTATAATTTTTCTATTGTTACAGCTTACTATGGTGCATGGTCAAAAATTAGTCAGTGTCACTGAAAACCCGTTTCTTTAAAGAAATGTGGAGTCTGACAGCATAGTGCCTTTCAAATGGAACTGTACTCTCAAATTGTGATTGGTTTTTTTTGCGCGCTACTACCCATGCTCTCAGTTTAAATCCCCTTTTTGCAGCCTCGCTGTCTGTGATGCCATGGAGAACTTGTATTATGTCACAGTTACTTAGTTGCAATATGTCATCCCAATTGTACATTCTCTACAATCTGCATCCTGATTCTAAAACCAAGAACATGCGGTTTTATGAAGTTGGCAACATGGACTACTGCTTGTGAAAACTGATTTCATTCCACTAGTGATTGCTTTATGGGTGTGCAATCTCAGATTCAAAGAGGAGGGACAGCACAAATAATATGAATGCCACCCTCTCAGTTCTAAAATGACACTGAAAAAAAAAAAAGGATATCAGATTTTGAGAATTTCAGGATTCCATTTACCAGAAATAAGGGACAAAACTTTATTTGAAAACCTAGGATTTGAGATTAGAGGTCGTTAGAGCAAGTTTCCTTTCTCTACTTACTTACATATATTGTTCCCTCTCCTGTTAGATCTGAGCTGCGTAAAGCAATGCATGAGCCTTAAAAATTGTCCTTTATGTGGCCAGATAAGCTTGTCATTTCTAGCTTTCATTGGTAGTCCATTAAATGTGCTGCAAAGTCAATATTGCTTTCTTTCTTCCTTCCTCTGCTCAAGAAAGCAGTGAGTAGGGCTGATAATGCCTAAAGCCTTGAAGCTGGGCTAGAGGAGCTCACATCCCTGGGGCCTACATGTGCAGTTAAGAGCTTTTTTTTGATTACTTTCTCCAAGCAGAATTTCTCTTACCCCAGTTGTTCAATATCCCCCAAGAATTATATTTCAGATGTAGCATTTTCCTTGACTGTTATTCCCAAAAGCGCTCCACTGAGCAGGGAAGCTGGTTCACACCTTTAAAAAATGATGACCTTGTGCATGGTTTTACTCTCATATGACAGACACCTTTGGCTCTTCCCCTGGTCAGAGCAGTAGCTTTCCTTCCTATTTAGTGTGTGCCCCCCCGAGTGATTCAGAGCAAAAGACTCTGCAATGTCTGTCACTT